TGGATCAGTTCCTCAATTTTATATCATTGGAGGATGATTTGTTCGTGTTACGAAGGTACAGCGACAACAGCCCTTTCTCGTTTAATGGTACCTTTAGCACTTTTTTAAAATTAATATCTCTAAATATGCAGTTTCTTCTTTTTTCAAGATTTTTCTTAATATTATCATCGTTTAAAGCTATTTTAAAAATCGTGATAACATTATAATCATGATAAAGCAATTTTAAAAAATGTGTTTAAATGAGGCAAAGGCACCCAGGAAGCAATGCGAATGGTAGTAAATGTCAACAGATGGCAAGGCTGTTGATGGTTCCCGTTTTCGAGGTTACTCATAAGCAGATTGATGGCGGGTTTTAATTTCTCACCGGCATATGCCAATATCAATTTACCATCGAAATGACTGAGAACGCATCATAGAGGGATTTGTTGTTCTACCAGTAAAATTGAATTTTTTCATCTACAACAGGACAATAGCATCCCATACCTACTGCTTTCTCTATGTGTTTATGAATTATATCTGTATTGTGCATAATTATGGGTTTTTTTACTACTCTATTTACACTCTATTTACTTGATGAACCGAAACATTCCCAATTCATATTTTAATCTTAACTTATTCACATTTTCCTTTTTTATTTCCTTACATCTTACATAAACACATATCAACTAAAAATTATAAAAATAAATTACATTCTGATTTGTTCGTTATCCCTTACTTACTCATTGAATCTACTTTCAACAAATCAATTTCTTATATTATTTTAAAATAAAATCGATGGAATGTTTTGCTTTTTTTTTCCAGCAATAAGCGATCCATCAGTGACAACTGAACAGATGGAGGCGCTCATTGATGCGATTGTTGATGGCTTATTTTCGGTCTGCGCTACACTTGGTGTTGTGCCGATCATACGCTGTCAAAAGGATAATGCTGCCGAACAAGTTGCTGTTGTAAGTTAGCATTCTCGAGCAAAATGAATATTTTGAAGCCATTCGCCCCCCAAATTTTTGCGGTAAAAGGTGAATTAAGCAAATAACTGCTCTGTCACGTTGGTCGAAATCGTTTTGCACTCGTACCATTTTAACAAGCTGTTGAACTTTGAGGTCAGGGACAATCGCAAT